CATACATAACATACATAACCCTACATAGCCCTACATAGCCATAAATAGCCCTACATAGCCGTACACAGCCATACATAGCCATACATAACCATACATAGCCCTACATAGCCGTACACAGCCATACATAGCCATACATAACCATAAATAGCCCTACATAGCCCTACATAGCCATACAGAACCATACATAGCCCTACATAGCCCTACATAGCCCTACACAACCATAAATAGCCCTACACAACCATACATAGCCCTAGATAGCCCTACATAGCCCTACATAGCCATACACAGCCCTACATAGCCATTCATAGCCATACATAACCATACATAGCCCTACATAGCCATACATAGCCCTACATAGCCATACATAGCCCTACATAGCCCCACATAGCCCTACATAGCCCTACATAGCCATACATAGCCATACATAACATATATAACCCTACATAGCCCTACATAGCCATAAATAGCCCTACATAGCCGTACACAGCCATACATAGCCATACATAACCATATATAGCCCTACATAGCCGTACACAGCCATACATAGCCATACATAACCATAAATAGCCCTACATAGCCCTACATAGCCATACAGAACCATACATAGCCCTACATAGCCCTACATAGCCATACAGAACCATACATAGCCCTACATAGCCATACATAACCATACATAGCCCTACATAGCCCTACATAGCCATACAGAGCCATACATAGCCATACATAGCCATACATATCCCTACATAGCCCTACACAGCCCTACATACCCCTACATAGCCATACATAGCCATACATAACCATAAATAGCCCTACATAGCTCTACATAGCCATACAGAGCCCTACATAGCCATACACAGCCATACATAGCCCTACATAGCCCTACACAGCCCTACATAGCCATACATAGCCATACATAACCATACATAGCCCTACGTAACCTTATATAGCCATACACAGCCCTACATAGCCATACATAGCCCTACATAGTCCTACATAGCCATACATAACCATACATAGCCATACATAGCCCTACATAGCCATACATAGCCATACATAGCCCTACACAGCCCTACACAGCCCTATGTAGCCATACATAGCCATACATACCATACACAGCCCTACATAGCCCTACATAGCCCTACATAGCCATACATAGCCATACATAGCCATACATAACCATAAATAGCCCTACATAGCTCTACATAGCCATACACAGCCCTACATAGCCATACATAGCCATACATAGCCCTACATAGCCCTACACAGCCCTACATAGCCTTACATAGCCATACATAACCATACATAGCCCTACATAGCCCTCTATAGTCATACACAGCCTTACATAGCCCTACATAGCCATACATAGCCCTACATAGTCCTTCATAGCCATACATAGTCATACATAGCCATACATAGCCCTACATACCCATACATAGCCCTACATAGCCCTACACAGCCCTACACAGCCCTATGTAGCCATACATAGCCATACATACTATTCATAGCCATACTTAGCCCTACATAGCCATACATAGCCATACATAGTCCTACATAGCCATACATAGCCCTACACAGCCCTACATAGCGATACATAGCCCTACATAACCATACATAGCCCTACATAGCCCTACATAGCCATACACAGCCATACATAGCCATACACAGCCATACACAGCCCTACATAGCCATACATAGCCATACATAGCCCTACTAGCCCTAAATAGCAATACACAGCCCTACATAGCCATACATAGCCATACATATCCCTACATAGCCCTACACAGCCCTACATAGCCCTACATAGCCATACATAACCATAAATAGTCCTACATAGCTCTACATAGCCATACACAGCCCTACATAGCCATACATAGCCATACATAGCCCTACATAGCCCTACACAGCCCTATATAGCCATACATAGCCATACATAACCATACATAGCCCTACGTAGCCCTATATAGCCATACATAGCCCTACATAGCCCTACACAACCATAAATAGCCATACACAACCATACATAGCCCTAGATAGCCCTACATAGCCCTACATAGCCATACACAGCCCTACATAGCCATTCATAGCCATACATAACCATACATATCCCTACATAGCCATACATAGCCCTACATAGCCATACATAGCCCTACATAGCCCTACATAGCCCTACATAGCCCTACATAGCCCTACACAGCCATACATAGCCATACATAACCATACATAACCCTACATAGCCCTACATAGCCATAAATAGCCCTACATAGCCCTACATAGCCGTACACAGCCATACATAGCCATACATAACCATACATAGCCCTACATAGCCGTACACAGCCATACATAGCCATACATAACCATAAATAGCCCTACATAGCCCTACATAGCCATACAGAACCATACATAGCCCTACATAGCCCTACATAGCCATACAGAACCATACATAGCCCTACATAGCCATACATAACCATACATAGCCCTACATAGCCCTACATAGCCCTACAGAGCCATACATAGCCATATATAGCCATACATATCCCTACATAGCCCTACACAGCCCTACATAGCCCTACATAGCCATACATAGCCATACATACCCATAAATAGCCCTACATAGCTCTACATAACCATACACAGCCCTACATAGCCATACACAGCCATACATAGCCCTACATAGCCCTACACAGCCCTACATAGCCATACATAGCCATACATAACCATACATAGCCCTACATAACCTTATATAGCCATACACAGCCCTACATAGCCCTACATAGCCATACATAGCCCTACATAGTCTTACATAGCCATACATAACCATACATAGCCATACATAGCCCTACATAGCCATACATAGCCATACATAGCCCTACACAGCCCTACACAGCCCTATGTAGCCATACATAGCCCTACATAGCCATACATAGCCATACATAGCCCTACACAGCCCTACATAGCCCTACATAGCCATACATAGCCATACATAACCATAAATAGCCCTACATAGCTCTAGATAGCCATACACAGCCCTACATAGCCATACATAGCCATACATAGCCCTACATAGCCCTACACAGCCTTACATAGCCTTACATAGCTATACATAACCATACATAGCCCTACATAGCCCTCTATAGTCATACACAGCCTTACATAGCCCTACATAGCCATACATAGCCCTACATAGTCCTTCATAGCCATACATAGTCATACATAGCCATACATAGCCCTACATAGCCCTACACAGCCCTACACAGCCCTATGTAGCCATACATAGCCATACATACTATTCATAGCCATACATAGCCCTACATAGCCATACGTAGCCATACATAGTCCTACATAGCCATACATAGCCCTACACAGCCCTACATTGCGATACATAGCCCTACATAACCATACATAGCCCTACATAGCCCTACATAGCCATACACAGCCATACATAGCCATACACAGCCATACACAGCCCTACATAGCCATACATAGCCATACATAGCCCTACATAGCCATACATAGCCATACATAGCCCTACATAGCCATACGTAGCCCTGCATAGCCCTACATAGCCATACACAGCAAACATAGCCATACACAGCCATACACAGCCCTACATAGCCATACATAGCCATACATAGCCCTACATAGCCATACATAGCCATACATAGCCATACATAGCCATACGTAGCCCTACATAGCCCTACATAGCCCTACATAGCCATACACAGCCAAACATAGCCCTACATAGCCCTAAATAGCCATACACAGTCGTACATGGCCCTACTTAGCCATACATAGCCATACACAGTCCTACATAGCCATACACAGCCATACACAGCCCTACATAACCATACGTATCCCTACATAGCCCTACATTGCCATACATAGCCATATACAGCCCTACATAGCCATTTAAAAAATAACTAAGATAGTATGCGCGCTCTGATTGGGCGAGAGTAATGTTTGCATGAGAGGAGGTAAAGATCGTTTTGGCGCCAAGATGTTTCGCTTTTCGCGCAGTTATCGTTCAGGCACGAATTTCAAAAAGTTCTGGAGTTCAAAACTCGACAAGTTTACTTTATTTACCCATTTCTTTGTCGGCTGAAACTTGGAAAATCCTTACAAAGAAGGTGTGTTTTTCCGAACGTGTAACATTATATGCTCTCTTATGTCATAGTAAAAGTAATAACGATTACATAGGAAAATACAAAGACCTGCGGTTGTACAGTTCTGAAACCACAAACAGAATTTACCTGTTCAGGAGCTAGTTAAGCTTGGGACGTATTTATAACTGATTTGGTGGAAGTTTTGGCACTTTAACATACCTATTGTCTGTGCAACCCTAAAGAGCTGTACTCATCAACTCATTTACAGCCAAACAGCCAAGCGCAATCTTTTATTATCATACACGGCCCTGGAAACTTGGACACATTGGGTCGGTTATTTAAACGAAGTCCAACTTTGGCAGCAGTTTAGGAGATCTTTGGACCTCCAAATCTCTTCCTTAGTGGATTCTTTAAAGAAGACAAATGCTTTTCTTGTCCACGTTATATGCGCTACTGAAACTGTCACAGTAACGGGTGTCTACATAAAAGCGTTCACCACACGAAAAATGGCATAAAACGCATTTTCTTAAAACTCTACCTAAACGCCATTTAAATAACTGACCCACTGTTTTACATATGGCCACACATAGCGCTATGTCAATGTGTCAATAGGCCAATTTCGAAAATACAACCCTACTATTTGTTTTCCCTCCAAAGTTTTGCACATGCATTGTTTTTTAATAGTTTCTTGAGGGAGCAACAATCACCCCCACGAAAAGTTGAAAGCAATACTTATTCAAACTTTTCTAGAGAAAACAAGGAGTATTAAAAAGGCCTATCGAAAAAGGCCCATATTCAGTTATACCCTCTAGGTGCTTATTCGAGGTGGGTGCTTGTTTGAGTCTGAATATTAATTAAAATTTTGTGATTTTCAGCAAGTAGTAAGTTAATTTACCAACAAAACAGTAAATAACACCAAAATTTGTGCGAGGACAGAATTTTAGTTTAAATTTGAAAGAAAAATACCTAAGAACTAGGCCTTGGGAGACACCCAGTCAATTTGTATCTCCATCTCATTGTCAGCAGGATCAATAAGTGATCTCTCTGGTTTACCTTGTCCCTGTCTCACAGTATAATGCCCACAAACAATGTGTTTTTTTTACAAGTGGACAAGAAGTTTTAGACAAGAAACAGTTGTGGCAGTAAATATACCAACCGATATCTCTTCTTGTCCAAGTACATGTTACATTTCTGTCTCGCTGTATTCATTATTATAAGAGAGGGAATAAAAACAACTACAACATTGAAAGCTTTACGTTGAATGAACAAAAACTGTTATTTATATGGTTACATTGGTGTCCGCAATTATGCGGCGTTTTAGCGATCAAGGTCTGATGATGTGTATCACTATGTGGGGTGTGGAAAATTTACTACTAACCCCTAGGAAATTTATTACTAACCCTAGGGAGACCAGCGAGGCAGTGGATTCCCATACTAAAACAGACATCTATAGGTCAGTGTCACGGAATTTATTTATGCACAGCCATAACCGATACCTTAACGAGCAAATATAGTGTCGAAAATAACTTTAAGTGGCACCAAAATCGGCAATTTACATCACTAAGGGAAACGATGAGCATCCCCTTCACTCTTATGAGAGTGTCACCCCCAGGGTGTACATCTAATAAATACATCAATACGAGTATGCGATTTGGCATTAAATCTGCAGGTTCTTTGGTGAATTGTGCCAATTGATATTCAACCATGAAGTCCAATAGATGGGTAGTGTGAACCTCTAAGGGATTTGAAGAAAATTACAATTCAAATCTCCCAGTATATACTGAATTTCTTAATATCTGGAATCTGTCGGGGTATGTAGGGTTATGTACGAGAGAGGATGTCCTATCAATCTCAGAGAAAAAGTGGCTGCAATATTTCCAAACTCTTCATTCTAATGAATCTCTTAACCCAGACCATTTTCGGATAAATTAGAAGTGAAATGGTAAAAGCTCTTTTAGAGTCTTGACACTTTGATGCCTGTATATGATAAATTATTCAATTCCTTCCCTAGGTACCATGCCTCAGACCTAATGGGGTGATCTTATTACTCCCATCTATAATTCGAGCGGGAGTAATAACCCGGCAATTTCCGAGGTATATCTGTCTCCAGCTACCTGTGTTCGACATCTTAAACCAACGACTCCTCAAAAATGTCATGTCTTTAAATACACGTAACAATTGAATCTCAAGTCGGCTTTTCTTTTTTTTAACAAATAACCGCACAGCAGAACACGTCTTTCCTTTACGTTCATAATCACCAGGAAAAGATTTATGCATGCTTTGTCTGCACTTTAAAAAACTTTTCACTACGTCAGCCATGTAGAGCTCCTGCACATGTGTATGGTAATATAGGGTTATGTAAGGGTATATAAGGCTATCTATAGGGTTATGTAGGGTTATTTAGGGCATGTAGGGCTATGTAGGGTTAGGAATGGCTATGTAGGGCTACATAGGGCTATGTATGGCTATGTATGGCTATGTAGGGCTATGTATGGCTACGTATCGCGATGTAGAGCTAAGTAGGCCTATGTATGGCTATGTAGGGCTATGAAGGGCTGTGTAGGGCTATGTAGGGCTATCTATGGCTATGTAGGGCTGTGTAGGGCTATGTAGGGCTTTGTAGGATTCTGTAAGGCTATGTATGGCTGTGTATCGCTATGTAGGGCTATGTATGGATATGTAGGGCTATGTAGGGCTATATATGGCCATGTAGGGCTATGTAGGGCTATGTATGGCTATGTAGGTCTATGTAGGGCTATGTAGGGTTATGTATGGCTATGTATGGCTATGTAGGGCTATGAAGGGCTGTGTAGGGCTATGTAGGGCTATCTATGGCTATGTAGGGCTGTGTAGGGCTATGTAGGGCTCTGTAGGGCTCTGTAAGGCTATGTATGGCTATGTATCACTATGTAGGGCTATGTATGGATATGTAGGGCTATGTAGGGCTATATATGGCCATGTAGGGCTATGGAGGGCTATGTACGGCTATGTAAGTCTATGTAGGGCTATTTAGGGTTATGTATGGCTATGTATGGCTATGTAGGGCTATGTATAGCTATGTATGGCTATGTATGGTTGTGTAGGGCTATGTAGGGTTGTGTAGGGCTATGTAGGGCTGTGTAGGGCTATGTATGGCTATGTAGGGCTATGTAGGGCTATGTAGGGCTATGTATGGCTATGTATGGCTATGTAAGGCTATGTAGGGCTATGTATGGCTATGTATGGCTATGTAGGGCTATGTAAGGCTATGTAGGGCTATGTAGGGCTATGTATGGTTATGTATGGCTATGTATGGCTATGTAGGGCTATGTAGGGCTATGTATGGTTATGTATGGCTATGTATGGCTATGTAGGGCTATGTAGGGCTATGTATGGCTATGTAAGTCTATGTAGGGCTATGTATGGCTATGGAGGGCTGTTTAGGGATATGTAAGGCTATGTAGGGCTATGTATGGCTATGTAGGGCTGTGTATGGCTGTGTATGGCTATGTACGGCTGTGTATGGGTATGTAGGGCTATGTAGGGCTATGTATGGTTATGTATGGCTATGTATGGCTATGTAGGGCTATGTATGGCTATGTAGGGCGATGTATGGCTATGTAGGGCTATGTAGGGCTATGTATGGCTATGTAGGGCTGTGTATGGCTATGTAGGTCTATGTAGGGCTATGTATGGCTATGTAGGGCTATGTAGGGATCTGTAGGGCTATGTATGGTTATGCATCCCTATGTTTGGCTATGTAGGGCTATGTATGGCTATGTACGGCTATTTATAGCTATGTATGGCTATGCAGGGCTATGTAGGGCTATGTAGAGCTGTGTATGGCTGTGTATGGCTATGTAGGTCTTTGTAGGGCTATGTATGGCTATGTATGACTATGTATGGCTATGTATGGCTATGCAGGGCTATGCATGATTATGTATGCCTATGTATGCCTATGTATGGCTATGTAGGGCTACATATGCCTATGTATGCCTATGTATGGCTATGTAGGGCTATGTAAAGCTTTGAATGGCTATGTATGGCTATATAGGGCTGTGTATGGCTATGTAGGGCTATGTAGGGCTATGTATGGCTAAGTATGGTTATGTAGGGCTATGTAGAGCTGTGTATGGCTATGTAGGGCTGTGTATGGCTATGTAGGGCTATGTACGGCTGTGTATGGTTATGTAGGGCTAAGTAGGGCTATGTATGGCCATGTAGGGCTATGTAGGGCTCTGTATGGCTATGTAGGTCTATTTAGGGTTATGTAGAGTTATGTATGGCTATGTATGGCTATGTAGGGCTATGTATGGCTATGTACGGCTATTTATAGCTATGTATGGCGATGAAGGGCTATGTAGGGCTGTGTATGGCTGTGTATGGCTATGTAGGTCTTTGTAGGGCTATGTATGGCTATGTATGACTATATATGGCTATGTATGGCTAGGCAGGGTTATATATGGTTATGTATGCCTATGTATGGCTATGTAGGGCTATATATGCCTATGTATGCCTATGTATGGCTATGTAGGGCTATGTAAAACTATGAATGGCTATGTATGGCTATGTAGGGCTGTGTATGGCTATGTAGGGCTATGTATGGCTATGTATGGTTATGTAGGGCTATGTAGAGCTGTGTATGGCTATGTAGGGCTGTGTATGGCTATGTAGGGCTATGTACGGCTGTGTATGGTTATGTAGGGCTAATTAGGGCTATGTATGGCCATGTAGGGCTATTTAGGGCTATGTATGGCTATGTAGGTCTATGTAGGGTTATGTAGAGTTATGTATGGCTATGTATGGCTATGTAGGGCTATGTAGGGCTATGTATGGCTATGTACGGCTATTTATAGCTATGTATGGCTATGTAGGGCTATGTATGGCTATGTATGGCTATGCAGGGCTATATATGGTTATGTATGCCTATGTATACCTATGTATGGCTATGTAGGGCTATATATGCCTATGTATGCCTATGCAGGGCTATGTAAAGCTATGTATGGCTATGTAGGTCTTTGTACAGCTATGTATGGCTATGTATGACTATGTATGGCTATGTATGGCTATGCAGGGCTATATATGGTTATGTATGCCTATGTATACCTATGTAGGGCTATATATGCCTATTGAGCCTATGCAGGGCTATGTAAAGCTATGTATGGCTATGTATGGCTATATAGGGCTGTGTATGGCTATGTATGGCTATGTAGGGCTATGTATGGTTATGTAGGGCTATGTAGGGCTATGTAGAGCTGTGTATGGCTATGTAGGGCTGTGTATAGCTATGTAGGGCTATTTACGGCTGTGTATGGTTATGTAGGGCTAAGTAGGGCTATGTATGGCCATGTAGGGCTATGTATGACCATGTAGGGCTATGTAGGGCTATGTATGGCTATGTAGGTTTATGTATTGCTATGTATGGCTATGTAGGGCTATGTAGGGCTATGTATGGTTATGTATGGCTATGTATGGCTATTTATGGCTATGTATGGCTATGTAGGGCTATGTATGGTTATGTATCATTATGTATGGCTATGTAGGGCTATGTACGGCTGTGTATGGTTATGTAGGGCTATGTATGGCTATGTACGGCTATTTATAGCTATGTATGGCTATGTAGGGCTATGTATGGCTATGTATGGCTATGTAGGGCTGTGTATGGCTGTGTATGGGTATGTAGTTCTATGTAGGGCTATGTATGGCTATGTATGGCTATGTATGGCTATGTATGGTTATGTATGCCTATGTATGCCAATGTATGGCTATGTAGGGCTATGTAAAGATATGTATGGCTATGTATGGCGATGTAGGGCTGTGTATGGCTCTATAGGGCTATGTAGGTCTATGTATGGCTATGTAGGGCTATTTAGGGCTATGTATGGCTATGTATGGTTATGTAGGGCTATGTAGGGCTATGTAGAGCTGTGTATGGCTATGTAGGGCTGTGTATGGCTGTGTATGGTTATGTAGGGCTATGGACGGCTGTGTACGGTTATGTAGGGCTATGTAGGGCTATTTAGGGGTATGTATGGCTATGTAGGGCTATGTATGGCTATGTAGGGCTGTGTATGGCTATGTATGGCTACGTAGGGCTATGTACGGCTGTGTATGGTTATGTAGGGCTATGTAGGGCTATATAGGGCTGTGTATGGCTATGTGTGGCTATGTAGGTCTATGTATGGCTATGTAGGGCTATGTATGGCTATGTATGGTTATGTAGGGTTATATAGGGCTATGTAGAGCTGTGTATGGTTATTTAGGGCTATGTACGGCTGTGTATGGTTATGTAGGGCTATGTAGGGCTATGTAGGGCTATGTATGGCTATGTAGGGCTGTGTACGGTTATGTAGGGCTATGTAGGGCTAGTAGGGCTATGTATGGCTAAGTTGGGCTATGTATGGCTATGTAGGGCTATGTAGGTCAATGTATGGTTATGTATGGCTATGTAGGGCTATGTATGGGTATGTAGGGCTATGTATGGCTATGTAGGGCTATGTAGGGCTATGTATGGCTGTGTAGGGCTATGTAGGTCTCTGTAGGGCTATGTATGGCTATGTATTGCTATGTAGGATTATGTACACTGCTTCTAGTAACTAACGGGGAACCACTGTATGATGCTTACACCACGTACCTACCGTTGTTGGTAGATTAGTACTTCACATTTGACTCGAAGCTTGGGTGGCACAGGTTATTTCTTACGGTGGAATCGACGAGGGAAATTCGAACACTAGTTGTAGTGTTTGAATTGTTAGGAGAAATGGTCGCATGGGGATGTAGGAATGGTAGGTTTAACGAACAATTTTAAATTTTGCCCCTTGAATTGAAAGTGAAGTTCATTTGAATGCTTTCGTATGTATTTCTGACGGTTTTAGATCTACCTGCTCGATTTATATCTGCTACGCTTCATGTTGACAAGTCCCCCAAAATGGCGGCAAAACTTGGAGATTGCCGAAAATTAGGTAAGTTCACGGAGTTATAAAGTTTTAGTAAAGGTCGGGCCGCAAAGTTTTTTTCTGTAGTTACCTTTTCTATGGCACCTACTTCCTAGCTATATTAGTTGGATCAGTTAAGAACGCCTCACTTTTTCAAAAATGTACCTTGAATTTGATCGGTTTTCGCTTGTGTGACTTAAGCTAACCGTTAGGGTGTCGTTCAAGTCTTCCTGTTTGCTTGATTGAAACGTGATGTTCACGAAAGTCGCCTCGATGGATAAGATAGAGTTAATATACATGGCTGTGCTATTTATTTTTTGCTGAGTCCCGCAGTTTGTTGTAAATTGTCCGCCAAAGTTGCCTCAAATTAACGTCTTGAAAAGTGTCACGACAGGCCTTCGCTCGAGTGAAATTTAATTTCCGTAAAACTCTGAAAAATAAAGAGATCCGATCAAACGGATTGTGGTTTTAGTATAGGTACATGAGTGTCTTACAACACACAAGAAATGAGCTAAATCTGTCTCAAGGAAAATCGACCGGACCTCTCTTACAGAGACACTCTCTTAAGCATCACAGAAATGCATGATGGCAAAGGTAAAACGGTAGCTATCACTTTGAAAATCGAAATTTAAATTTGCCCCTCACACTGGCCACCATCTTGAATTTCGGGGAAGGCTGAAAAGTTGCTTATATTCTTTTAACGTAAACAAATCTTGTTTTAGCGTAGATTTAAAACATATTTGAACTAAAAACATGACTTCCGTTTATTCTAGTGCTTAAATTGTAACTACCTGATGTCGTGATTGCGAATCAACATTGCCCGTGATTGGTCACTCAATAAGACCGGCAGTTCGCAATTTGTTTATTAACTAGAAAAAAATTTAAGGTTTAGAAAATTGTTTCAGAAAAGAGTAAGTAAATGAATCATATTTACATTGCAAGTGTATTGAATAGAGTCTCTTCTTAAAAACAACTTCTTAGTGGAGAACCTTATCCAGTCACGCGTCCATGACCGGAATCAGTTTCCGAGGTTTCAGCTGAATGTGAATTCCCCGTGCGTCTCATCAAAATCAATGTAATGGCCGAAGTAAGTTCACGAACGAGAGAGATTTGCAACTCGCTAAGCTTGTCTACACAGAAGTGAGTGATGACTGACTCCCCTCCACGGCAAGAGAAAGCAGCCAGCGAAGACTTTTTAATGAGCCGTTGCTCATCCCAACGAAGGTGAAGGCTGTGCATAAGGTTCGCAACAAGGATCTAGTACTTCCTCTTGTACTTGGATGGCACTTCTGAGACAGTTCCGGCAAGCCGAGAACATAACCGGGCAGTTCCGATGAAACGGCAGGCTACAGAAGTTGTAGATCTCCTCTGGAGCTATGTTCCACGTGGTCGCCTAGAGTAACTAACTTCGGGCAGCACGCGCGTAGATGTAGTGTTTGAGGTGTAGCGCAAGGTGTTGATCAAAAATGTCAAAAGACTGAAAATAACGTCTACTGCTGACAGTGTACAATATAGGGATTTACTGCGATGCACTATGCTGTGAAGTCATGGAACGAGCTGCTAAGTGCCAACACAAATAGGCTGAAATCGCCAAATTCCTTGTGCCACAGGGCAAAACCGAAGCATTCATTAGAAGCAGACTCGGCAACTGGATCATGGACTCCCGTGTGACAACCGAAGACCAGTCGGGCGACTAGACGCAGACACATAGTGGTCAGAGACCCTTTGTGACGAAGAGGCTGAAACGCGTATTGTTCTCCATGCTCGGCATGCACGCAAGAAAGAAGGTGTGATGCACTCCGATACACTGACCAGAGACTGATTTCTTTGTCCTAGTGCTTGCTCATCGCAAAAACTTGACTTTGAAAAGGTTCCACGTGAAAAAGGGAACAGGCGCGAACATTAAATGTAACTCGACCCAGGCGATGTTAACCACTAATTCATGAGGAGCCGTTATAGGTGTAAACTCGAACACAGGCTGTGATAACATCTCTGCCTTCTTTGGTAAAGGGAAGTGGAAAGCAGTCCAGCTTATTCAACCAATGGAGGGTACGTCCGAGGTATGGCGAGTATCGCAGGAAAGAGTGATCAGTATACAATGAGAACTTTAAATTCAAGGTACGGAAGCACCCGCTTGTGAACTGTACGGAAAGAACTGGCCTGGTGCCCTCTACGAGATTCATCCCCAGCTTAAGGCTGGAAGGTCAAGCTGGAGAATCTGCCGCCATGCGAGTCATCTCTTTGACTTACAGGAGCAATTATCAAGCCTCAATGTGAAGAAGAACCATCGATCTGCTCCCCTCGTTGGCACGTCACCATAGAGTAGTTGTAACTCCTATGCGTATGAACCTTTCTTCAGCTTATGATGTTCGAGCAGAAAATGCAGTGTATGTGAATCTATCTACGTTTAGGTTAAATTTTCCAAACGCGGATCTCAGCAGTGAAGAATGGTGTTATGCAAATGTTGTCAGTTATGGGATCATAGTGCTTTTGTTCTAAAACAAGCTCTAGACTGAAGAGTGGAGCACGTTTCGAGGTCAGGGGGGAAGCACTCCCTTATTTGGCTAATACAGGTCAGGTATGTGCTGCTGAACACAAAGTCTTGAGTATTAAACAGGGTGTAGAATTTTACTATTTAAATAGTAAAATTCTAATCATTTCTTTAATTATTTTAATTGTAAAATTCTATTTTAAAAGTAAATTCGATTAAAACCGTTGTGAACAGTGTCTTTTTGGGCTCGAAGCCTTAAAAAGACTGTGAAGGCTAGCGATTTGCATACATTTGCAATACCAATAATTTTTTCCCAAAGTACTATTTCGTGATGTTAGCTTGAAAAACTATTTCAGTGATCCTTTATCATGTTCATGTAAAACAAAACAAATCAATGTCCGAATCTTAACCATTGTAGAGGTTTGAAGGTCTCGACGGTACAGCTCTTTCCAGACTTCCCTTTAGTGCACCCCCCTTCCCCCGCTGGAGCACGTTATCTGCTCTTATTTGTGCCTTATTGCCTCTAGGTAGAGGTATGATTTACTTACCGTAGAAAACGAAGCTACAGTAGCTCTAAACATGTTCTTCTAGCACTGTGATTTCGATGGCCTTAAACCTTCGACGACTTCTTTGGTCGTTATCACTCCATATGGAACGATGCATGATCATGTATGTTTTCCTTCCTAGACCCATTATTTATAAGCACCAACGTCACAAAATGTTTCCAGCGATATCTCGTTTTGGATATTCTGACTAATCCTAACAACGTTACACTCACAGAAAAGGTAACATTTTAAGGAAAAATCCACTGTCAATGTGGCGGTTTATCTGCTACTCTACAGTCCAGGATCGTTATCAAATTTGATAACCATGTGACGTCACAACATGGTGGACATTCAGAAGTCGGGAATTTTCGTACTTGCCTTTCTTTTTCCGAGATTTTGTCCGATCTTATTCGGTGTAAACTCGTCAGGTACCCATGTTTATGTTCGGCAAGGCCAAGGAGCTTCACATGTTTCAAAATGGAAGATATGCATCACGCATATTGAAGTAAATTTCCCTCTCAAAGTGAAGCGTCCATCAGATTTTTGTTCCGAGATTAGGTATGTTTTTCCACTTCGTTGTTAAATTTAATGTACTTGTCGCTTTTTGTGAGAGTTGCAAAAAATCTGGCGTTATATCCAAGGTTTATGATTTCTATTCAGCATGTTTCTATTGTTGTGCACAATCTCTCAAAAAAGTGCATCAGGTATTTTATTCGCAATGCGCTTTCAATAATGTCGGCCATACTTGATTGATGTCTTCCTCAAAGTGCTGAGATGGCAGATGATGCCCATAGAAGCAAAACTTCAAAAAAGTTATGTCGCCTTTGTGGCAAGATCGCGTCTTCAAATACCTCCAGACCACGCAACACGACTCCGCACTTCAGTAACGCAAAATTTATTTACACATGAAACATGCGTTAAACTCGAAAATCCGTTTCTTTGGCAATTCTTGACCAAAAACTTTCATTTTGGTATCACTAGAAAGCTCAAGAAATGTAGTTTTTATAAAACGATTTGGTTTTGACGCGCCGTACATAAAGCTAAACTATTATAGTACACGTTACGAAACGTTTTGACCGAGTTCGAATTAAATTGCAACAGATATGACTCTTCGTGCTATTCGACTCGGCACTTCAGTAACGCAAAATATATTTACAAGTGAAACATGCATTAATTTGCATATGCACATTTTCCGCTACAACGGCTTTCGCTACCTGTACAATAAAAAATTGAAGCAGTTATTTGTATATGTTAATCAATGGAAGGCATACTCATTGTCTGCATGTTCCGTTTTTGTTTCATTGACAGATCTATGGACAACAACCATCATCGACATCATCCCCTCGTGACAAGAGGAAAAAAGGAGAATGAACTTCGAAAAAGCAAACTTCTGTAGACGATGTTAAAAATAAAACCTCTATCCTTAACAGAATAACCATTGTCTTCCATCACTGTGTCTCTTTAATTTGAACATTTCCGCGGAAACAAATTACGTATAAGTTTGATGATTTGTTTGAAATACACGAAGCTTTCCGCAGAGGTCTTATTTGGAAAAATGCGTCTCAAATACAATTTCACCAGTTTTACAATCTACTGCGAGATGTCTGTTATAAAAAATTGCCAGGTACATGAGTTGCTGTCTCAGCAGTACTCCTTTCTATTTCTGAGAACATCTTGACATCGTCCGCTATATTGAATTCAAGATCGCTTTCCCCCAAACTAGGTCACGTGAACGGAAATTTAAACAGCGATTGGCTCGTAATTTTTTTTTGGGTCGAGGTTATCAAATTTGATAACGATCCCGGACTGCTCTATGAAGATTAAAGTTTTTCTTTCCTAAAAAGTTGGCTAGCCACAATTCTATACAAAAAAATACGATAAAGTGGGCAAAAAACTGCTAATATGGAAGAAAGGCAAAGAAAAAAAGAGAGCAATAGAGAAAGATCGAAATAGATTCGCAAATAAAAAGTCAAAATTTTGGCTTCTGCGCATCCGTGAAATACAAAAAAGCTGTTTAATTACGCGATTAGACGGAAAATATGTCTTTGTGTGATGCAAAATTCAGTTTTAGCCATTTTTTTTAGCCAGGCCAATTACAGTCCAAAGAAGAGGAATTGGTGAAAAATACGGTTTTTTGGCTGACTCGCCGGCCTTCACCAAAGGGTTAAAGAAAGTTACCAATTTGTTTCAAATTGACCTTTTTCCTCATAAAAAAGTCAAATTTGCCCATTTCAGTACAAAACAGGTTTGTAATGTGAAAAAGAAGAACTTCCAATTTTAATTAATGTTAATAGCAATTTTCCCATTTAGATGATTGAGATATTAGTTGAATAGGCTAATTTTAAAAGCAAAATGGCGGTCACTGTAACGTCATGTATGACGTCATCATATCTTGACTAACCTTAACAATGCTAAAATAATATCTCAGATACCCATTAGTTCAAATCTTCTTTTAAAAAATCGTGTGTTTAAATTAAGAGAGAATCAAAGGTTGGTTTATAAATCCAAGATGGCGACCAAAATAAAGGTTTAAGTGGCAAATTAAAAATTCGATTTACAAAGTGAAAGCTACCGTTCTATCCTTGCTATCATGCATTTGTGATGGTTTTTACCCAAAGATTTAGATTATACATGTTTTGTTTGTTCCCCTTAAGTGAGCCATACAACCCTTCCCCCCCCCCCCAATAGCTAATGGACTAGGCAAAGTTAAAGATTTATGTGCAGGCGATCAGGTGATCAATTTTCAGCAAGTTATAGAAAACATTATTGCCTTATAACAGGCTTATAGCAACTGCGACATTCAAATACTTTACGGAGTAAAACAACACAAACTGATTAAAATGCCGATGGAATGCCAACAATTTTCATTCACATGATATTAAAAGTGTTTTGTTGCGGGTCTCCTATTTTTTATGTTTATCTATTGCAACGCTTTCTATTGATTTTTTCCTTTTTTTGGTTAGCAGCGAAAATTACTCTTTGATTTTGAATTATAAAGCTAAATCATTCGTATTTTCTCTTGTTACAGCCTGTACCTCTGGCGAATATCTTAATGGATTTAGTGGATTCTTTTCAACTCCAAATTTTCCGAATAACTACCCTCAATACAGCAAATGTACATGGAATATCACAGTTCCCAGCGGGTACATCATTAAACTTAGCTTCCTTTACTTTGGATTGGAGCCATATCAGTACATTCTCTGCTATTATTATGCTCCAGGAGCCCGTGTTACAGTCACAAATGTTGCTTCAGATGATGGGTATCAGCCGTTTATGCTGTGCGGTCAGTCTCTTCCTCCTGCAGTGTACTCAGTAGGGAATTCCGTTCAAGTCATATTCACGTCTCTGAACAGTCAATACCCAGGGTTTAATGCAACTTACACGGCTATCACCTATAGTTCAGGTACTTGGTATACATCATTTACAAGACATGATTTAGTTAAGATTTAAAAACCATCACCACCAACAACTCGCTCAATAAAAGGTAATCCAAGAAAGTCTTCTCAAATAAAATCACAGATTCCAAATTCCGGTACTTAAACATCTTTCTCACACTTGATGTTGCGTTGTTTGTGAATTTTTTTAATGTAGCTGTTGGTCACATAGGCTTTCATAACAAAGAAAGACAACCTGAACGACAGAACAATTTTCTTTATGCCAGAGTAAGGGCAGGCGCCTAATACCAACTACAATTAATGTTCGTTTGAGTCACGGAACGGATTTTCAAAAACATAGTAAGAAGGCAGTCAATTGTCTGTGACTTGTTCACAATATAATCTCGATAATTTTCAAAAAGTTATTTCAGAGACAAATTTAAAAAAGCTTCCGGGGTATCCCAAAATTATTTAGTCCTGCCATCCTGCATTTGTTTTTGATCTAATTCCTTCTCAAGTTAATTAGATTCTTTTTTTTAAAGTGGTAAAATTTTAATTGTCCTCGATACTTACGCTCAGTCCATATATATTGCTTGAAGTCTGTCCAAATATGGCTGCCCTGAATGAGACGTCAGGAGTTCTTACCAGTCCTTACTATCCAAGGCCTTACCCTTCTAACGAGAAATGCAGCTGGAAAATTATAGCAAGTAAAGGAGAACGCATTCTGTTGGTCATTAAAGACATTGATATTCGTAACTGTGGTTCATCTTGAACGTGTGACTACCTGGAAATACAAAATGGCTCATCCTCTGATGGCATTTCAGGCAGGCGAAGATGTAGATACTATACAGACCGGGGGATAGTATACCATTCGGTAAAAGATGTCCTGACGGTGACGTTTGTTTCTGATAGTGGTACATACCGGCGGTACCGTGGATTTAAGGCAACTTACATCAAAGTGAAATATAATGCAACAAACACCGGTAAGTTAAAGGTTTATGTGCAGGCGATCAGGTGATCAATTTTCAGCAAATTATATACAACATTATTTACCAATGAATGAGGCTGAGTATCTTATGAAGAATTATGGAGATCGAGGAGGGGTTAATAGCAACTGTAACATTCAAATACTTTACCAAGTAAAACAACACAAACTAAAATGCCGACATTGGAAAACCTCCGTTTTGGTCTGTCCTCATGTAAACGAGAAGCCGGCGTTTTTAAAAATCTCCTCTGTGGAAAGCGTTTTCAGTGACCGTTTTCACCGGATACGTGTGGACGGTAGGCCAGACCGGAGAAAAAACTAAAACGGATACGTGTGGACAGGGCCTTAGTGGTACCGTACACTAGAAATATAACGTTAGACTTGCTCACAAGTCGAGCTTTTGAGCGCGTAGCGCGACTGTGAGCGCGAAGCGCGATCGTATGAGCGCGGAGCGCGAGCGAGCGAAAAGGTCCTACCACACCAGACCAGAAAACCAAGCGAACGACTTTGAGAAAGTCTAATATAACGTTAATTATACGTTTTGCGAGAGAAACTAATTTCTTTGTTTTTGTTTTGTTCGTTTATTTGTCTTTTTCATTAGAGTTACCACACACAACCACTACAAAAGTAACACCTGAAAGTGAGTATCATATGAAGATCAAAGAATAAAGTTGTAACGAAGCAAATTTCTGATTTTACTCCAATCTGGAGCTCGCTTAAAAACTTATTCATGATATTTTTGGTTTCACAACAGCAACAAGCACCCAAGACTCAGAAATGACACCCACAAGTAAGTTTCTCACGAGGTTGAAAGAACTATGTATTGGAAAAGATGGGCACCTTTCCAACTTTAGTTAAATACTATGGAAAAACAGTCGAATCTCCCGTAAGCGACCATGGTGGTCTCTTCGTAAAAGAGGTCCGGACACATCTATTTTTTTGAAGAGAATGTACTTTTTCACTTTGTGGAAGAGAAGTTACGATATGTGTACTGTAGTTCCATGTTGTCACTCAAATGCCTTCGTATGCATTGACAGGCGAACAAAGCGAGATCACACCATGCGCTTACGGGAGGTTAAAAAGAATGGGAAATTATAAAACCGTCGAGCGCAAAACGCTGTCGCGGTCGCTAAAGAGAGGTGGTCGTTTACAACAGGTTTTAAATACCGGGCTTAGAGTGGTTTTGGTTCTCACAAGGATGTTTGACTTCCTTTTTTTCTTCCTGTCAGTCTATGATATCAGTCAGATAACAGTTGACGTCGAAACAAGTTTCTCGGATTGTTATTATATTTTCGGGGCTTTTAATTGCCCGTTTTTGTCCACTATTAGTATAACTTATTAGGGCCATTTATTCGAGGAAAAATAAGACGCGTCTTACATAAGACGCGTCTTAAATAAGACGCGAACTGTACCATTTATACGAGCATGTCTTATCTAAGACAAAAACAGCTCGTATAAATGGTTCGCGTCTTATTACTGTTCTTGACTCGTTTTCATGTGAGTGTTGCCCGTGGCAACGGCAACAAACAAGGCGCAAAAATTTTCCCGCCAAAGATTAACGCATGCGTACCATGCGTTCGCGTCTTATGTAAGACGCGAAGGTCATTTATACGAAGTTTTTCTCGTCTTAGCTAAGACGTGTCTTATCTAAGAACAGGTGTGAAGGGCTGTTCTAAAATAAGACGCGTCTTAGCTAAGTCGCGTCTTATTTTAGACGAAATGTGCCGTTTATACAAAAAGCTCGCGTCTTATTTAAGACGCGTCCTATGAAAGACGCGTCTTATTTTTCCTCGTATAAATGGCCCTAATATGTGACACTTGAAATAAGATGATTTCTACTTCGAATCGAATAGAGATCACGGGTTAATTATGTTCATGTCGCTCCCGATAATCCATCTTGGACAAACATGATTAGCCATGATTTCTCAGTTCAAGAGGATTGAACTCATATTCTTACGATCTTGGTCAAAGTATCTATTTCAGACTCTAAAACACAGGGCTAGAATTTCAAAGTTAAGGCTTGGAATTAAGCCTTATTAGATAGCTGGTTTTTGAGACTTTGCAGTGAGAAAGAAGAAAAAGCACTGAAAACCATGCATTTACAATTACTGCAAACTTTGAGGAAATTTGTATTGAACCTATACTTGTGACGTAAAAGGCTTTGAATACAAGTTTCCGCTTGTCAGATTCCGGAGTAGTGATTTTTAACTGCAGTGTAAGTTTGATTTCACCTCCATTTTTTATCCAGTGTGAAAGCTCAATGTAGATTTAAGATTGATAAAGTGAAATCTTGTTTATTAAGTCTATTTATCAAGTGGTAAAGACTTAAAATCCAAGATCATTTGGTGGATCATCTTGCATTTAAGCTTTTGTTATGCACAAAAAAATCTTTGATTCAAGTCTCCACACCACAAAAACGGCTTAGATTGGAGTTTTCAAATTAAGGAAACTCAAATCTGACATAGTTGAGTACCATTCAATATTTCTTAATCGTGATCCTTGTTAAATGCTTTTAAAATTTTTTATCTAATGTACACTTATATTGGCATACTGTGAATGAAAATTGTCTCTTCTTGTTACTCCATATTAAAGCTTAAATTAATTGGTTAAAATATTTTCTCGATGAGCGGAAAAAAGTGCAAAAATAGACTAAAAGAAGGGTTGGTATAGGCAAACTAATAGCTCGTCTGCTCTACATTAGTATAGGTAATAGCATGATTAGTAGTGATATTTGGCATTAAATACCACGAGTGATATTTCAAAACTGTTAGCCAATCAAATTGCAGAAATTTCTCATGTAGTAGTATAAACTGATTAAGGGAAGAAATGTCTAACAGGAAGAGGCTTCAACTCACAGATCAGATCAACATTGGTACTTTGGGCTCAAAGAGATATTCTTGGATTTGAAATGGTTAGATAGGTTGTTTCATCGCTTTATAGTAGACAATTGAAATATATTTAGTTTGTCGCCATCTCTAAGATACAACTATTTCCTGACACTAATCTATTTCCTTTTCATTGTTTGTAGGGGCGATGTACAGTGAACTTGAGAATCGGAGCATTGTTGTTGTAGATATTGATAAATAGATAACTGACAGGCGTGGCAGTATGCGTCAAAAAAGCTGTTCAAACTCAGGATTCAAAATTCTCTTCTGATCCACGTCCTTTCGTGCATGGTTCAGTCCAGTTTTGAGGCGCAAGAAAAGAGATAAGATTAATACTTACTAATTTTTTCCCTTCCCTGTCCGCTTATTAGGGTCATGTAGCAGCTGGTCGGAAGAGAAGTCACCAATGGTGCCTAAACCTGACCCCAAACAATACTGAAACAATTGAAAGAATGACATGTCATTGTTTTCTGCGACCAATCAGGAGAGACCTTACGAGCAACTCCTACACAACTGGCTTATTATAGGAAGTATTGTTTCAGAAGACCCACGTGACCCTACTTCTAAGGTAGCCTGTTCTAGGCTCTCAGATTGTGGGGATGACGCATACACGTAAGTGAAAGGCAGGCGAAAAGGGGTTTTGATTGTAGTGTGCTAGCTAGCAACAGATTTCTTAGCTATCTACCTTACAGAGTGGATGCATAACAAGGGGTGGTTTGCAAAGAGTACAGATGGCGTTTCGCTAGAAGTATCTTGATTCTGCATTAGTCACTGGAAATGCAGAAGGGTGAACGCAGGGCCATGTCAGCCTGAGAAAACAGCCGACATTTCACGACGCCACCACTGGTTTCCCCGCGCGAGATGACGTCTGAGAAATGACTGCAGAAAGTGTCACTACCCAGATCTGGGTAGTGATTCTGATTGGTCGAACCGCGAGGAAAATTTCCTTCAGCCAATCAGAAGCACTACCCAGACCTGTCATTAATATGGAATTTCTGCAATCGTTTCTCAGACTGGAAACCAGTGGTGGCATCCCGAGATGTCCAAGGGCCATGCATGTTATTTACTTACTTGGCTTAAATTATCTCATTTGCATTCTTTGCACGGCTAAGGAATAATTCCTCTTTTTATGGCATATTTAACAATTATTCTTTGAAATCGAGGTGAATAGTGGCAAAATATTTACCGAGCCACGAAGTGGCGAGG